AAAAAAAAAAAAACGAAAAAAAACAACTAAATGGAACAGTCCACTATATATGGAAACATCATTCAAATTCTTGAGGCAGGTTTTCGTGCTGCTACTTATCGCGTTTTTATGTTCCTTAGTTTTCTATTTTGTCTATTTCGTACATCTCAGTAACAATATCCAAGAAATCAATCACAATGCAAAAATTTCGTACTTTTGGTTTGTATGAAATAAAGGCAACTACCTAAAAGCTGCAACATCACCCTTGAATAGATTCAACAGATCCTCCAAGCTCATGACTGTGGCATCATTCCCATCTCTAACCCTCACGGCCACCTTCACGTACGATAACACAATTGCTTTAAAAAATCGAAAAAAAAAAAAACTAGATGTTCACATATATAAATCGTAAAGTAGGTAATTTTTACCTGTCCAGTTCCAACTTCTTTCTCCCCAACCACCAATATGTAGTTGTACTGGGCCATTTGAGCTTCTCGTACCTATAGGTATTCATATAATCCCACCAATTATAATTTAATTAAATTAGTGATCTGCCAAAACGACATTTCGCTTATTACAAAATTTGCTGGTCAAGTCCTTCCTTCGATCAAATATTCATTTTGATCGATCAACAGGAAGGCACTACCAAGATATGGAGGATTATACCAGTCATGCTATAGAGAAGGCTGTAAAGAGTTGGGAGAGGGCATAAACGCACCTTTTTATTAATTGTTCTGTCAGTTGTGTCAACATCAACAAAGAACCCAGCCTCGTGTATGCGATCCCGAACCTACAATCAATAGCAATTGGGCAATTTCAGCAACTAGCGTAAGAAAAGCATTTGTGATGCAAAATCGGTAATGCACCAAAATAGTACTTGTTCATTAAGCAAATATCCGATAACAAGTCTGTTAGCTAAGTCGTGTGAAGTCATAACAAACGGCATAACCAAATAGTTTCTAATAATATGAGCATGCAGAATTACACAGGTGTTGAATGCCACAATATCCCGATAAAGAGGAGAAAGAGACTCCCACTTAAAGTAGAAAAGCAGTCATAACCAACCTCAAGTGCATATGTCTGTGACTTGTCAGAAACCGGGCAAACAATTACTTGGCGTGGACTAAGCCAAAACGGCCACTTGCCCTTGTAATGTTCCAAAAGTATTGCAAACATTCGTTCAACTGAACCAAGAATAGCTCTGTGTATCATAACAGGCCTCTCCCTCTTGGTTTCATCTTCTGCTGAGTAGGATAAGTTGAAACGAGCAGGGAGTTGAAAGTCCAGCTGGAACAGTAAAAAAAAAAAATCTAAGTTATCGAGGAACTGTCTTTATGAAGGCACAACACCCCTTCATAAAACGTTGATAAAATAAGAAGTCAATAAAACTAAACCTGCAAAGTAGCACATTGAAATTTTCTTCTCATTGCATCAGAAACACTGATGTCAATCTTTGGCCCGTAGAATGCCCCATCACCTTCGTTTATCTAATAGAAAGATCAAAGATTAGAAGTCAGTTTTACACCAGCTGCTCCAACTATGCAACAATAAGAATAATGTAAATATAATCTAAATAGGGTAAGTACTAAGTAGTACAAGTAACTAACCTCCCAAGGTTTGCCAAACTCATTTAGTGCTTCTGCAAGAGCAGCTTCAGCTTTATCCCATACTTCTAAGTCCCCAAGATATTTCTCTGGTCTCTGCAACACATCAAGAGATATTAGCTTTATTTTTCTAAATGGTCAATTTCGGTCACATTTACCACAAAAGGTTGTACATAAAGTTGTGGTCCTGGTGGATTATGTGCGTAAGACCACTGTGGTGAATTTCATTTAGTTATCTCATCAACCGTTTCTTTTTCATATAACTATATCTTTTGATGGACATTGAAACACAAAAATATAAACAGATGGCTTATCACCATTGGGTAAATATTGAACTATATATTAAAACTCCATACCGTAGATAACTTTAGGTCAAAAGTGAAGCCAAACACTTTGTACACATAACTGATGAATTCCAACACAGACTTCACTTCATCTTTAACCTGCAGACAGAAAGATAACATAAGAAGGAACTTCACCCAAAGCCATACAAGCCAGATAGAGCCAAGAAAGTCTATCTTACCTGTGACTCCCTGCAAAATATATGTGCATCATCCTGTACGAAAAATCTCATGTCATTAGCAACAAACAATTGAAACAAAACTATTGCATGCAATTATAAATCTTCAGAATCAAAATGTTCGTGTGATCCGTCTAGCTGCATGTTCAAAAGTAAAATAAACTTAAAAATCGTGGAAAACAATCTCACGATTTACAAAAAATGATACACATTCTTTTACTTTTCATAATAAGATCAAAGGTATACCTGCTGGAATCTCCTGACACGAGTCAAACCAGTAAGTGCACCACTTGCTTCATTCCGGTGCAAGACCCCAAAATCAGCCAGGCGGAGTGGAAGTTCTGCAAATAAAAACACTCAGTTTTCATGTTCTATCAAAAATGAACTGCCAGTAAGAATCCAATGCAAAAGGCACTAGACACACGTTAAAGATATAGCATAAAAGTGTCCTCAATCTTCTTGACACACGTAAATAGATTTCACAACTATAATAAAAATAGCAAGAATTTTATGTTACATTTAAAACTAAATTACCAAATATGCAAGGTCTATGGCATCCACAGGGATGTTAAAGGCACAAAGGAAAGGCTCACCTCTATATGAGCGGACTCTATGATCAAATATAAGACAATGTCCAGGGCAGTTCATTGGCTTGAGTCCAAATTCTTGTTTCTCTACCTGGAAAAAGAAAATAACAAGAAATCCAAACGATAGCTCCCTTAACTTAGAAGATACGTATAATAACCCAACTTATCAATTAATAATGGAATTGTGGAAACAAGATATGGTAAAATTAATCTTTTACAACCATGATCTCACCTCAAACACAAACATATTCTCCTTGTAGTTTGCTGCATGACCAGATGTTTCCCACAGCTGCATGTTGTACATATTCGGAGTCCACACCTAATAAAATCAAGCAATAGATAGCAATGACGTGATAAAGCTATGTGGCATATCAATGTGCAGACTTCAAGACTAGTGAATGAATATACCTCTTCATAACCTCTCTTCCAGTACTGACTTCTAATGAATTCCAACAACTTGTTGCAAACTCGAGCACCATGGGGTAAGAAGAAACAACTTCCCGGGCTAAACGCACATGTCCATTTATGTCAGAAATGAATTAAACCGGAAAATAAATGTATTATAGCTCGAACTCTTACCTTAGAGGGTGAAAAAAGAAAAGCTCCTGCTTTTTAGTGAGTTCTCTATGGTCATATTTTTTCGCTTCTTCCAGCATGGCTTTGTATTCCTGCATTGATTACCATTATGCAACTCAAGACAGCTGATAATGCTGAATGGGAATATCATTACTAACAATTGCAAACTATAATAAGCAAAAGCAAGAAGGATGAAGACACGGAAAGATTGTCACCTTCAGACGTTTTTGATCTGGATATGATATACCATAGACTCTTTGCAAACTTTCACGGTCTTTATTACCACGCCAATATGCAGATGATGCCTGATACCACAAATTTCAAAAATGAGAAATGAAGACTCACAGACTCAATATTTACCTGCAATGGAAATGAGAATTACCTTCAAACAGCTAAATGCTTTCACAAAAGATGTATTAGGAATGTGAGGTCCACGACAAAGATCAACCAACGGACCACATCTATATACTGTGATTGTTTTATCGGCCGGTAAATCCTTAATAATTTCAACCTAAAGGAGGGTTCAGATACAAGTGAACAGTCATAAACGATTCAAACATAAGTATATTGTTCCATTATAAATGAAGATTGAAATGTAGACATATAACTAGGATTGTAAATTAAAAGACCTTGAACTGGTTGTCTGAAAACATGTCGAGAGCTTGTTCCCTTGTCACTTCAATGCGCTCGAAGGGTTGCTTTTCCTAGTGCACAAGTAACAGCAACATAAAACTCAAGATAAGATTGAAAATTTGAAACACGTGAAATGGCCTTTTACTATAACAAATAACAAAATGCCAACTCCTAAAGCAAAGCAACCTTGAAGCAATTCTGTTAGTGGGCACGCATGCATATGAAAACATGCAAAAGAAATCAGATAGGTAAGGTAAAGATCTACAAATCAAATCTCCAGAACCAAAAGAGCCTTACATCAACAGCTTTCTTGGCAGCTGCTTCAATCAGTTTAAAGTGATCCTCGTTCAACCCCAGATCACCATAAAATGCATCATAATAAAATCCCTGAAAAATCAATTATACTATTCAAGAAATAGCACGTAAAGATTTTTGGAACAATAGGTTAAATTAATATGTTCAATCAGAATGTAAAATCATCTAAAAGAATAAGAAATTCAAATCCCATAATATAATTAGTAAGGTACTAAGTGGAAGGGAGACACAAAATTCATGATATAGTTCAACAAAAACAATAAGCTTTTTGTACATCGAAGTTAGGCATGGAGCAAAATTCAGTCCAACTAAAAAACATATTAGATGTACTTAGAGTGGTGATTTTGCTAAATTCTTCCTCTTTGCACTAGTAATAAATGCAATGTTTACATTTGTTTTTAGTACTCCAAAATCTAGTTGACAAAAACAACAAACACTAAGTAGAGGTAAGCATAATTAATACTCTGATGCAGATTTCTTGAATGACTGAGTTCTCATCAAAAATCCATTTCCTCTGCTAATTTATTCAATTGGAAATTTCGGATTCTTTCATTAGGAATAAATAATGATATGTTTCTTTCCGTTTAAAATGCACTAAACTACAACAAGGATTTATTTAATTAACAAGACAAGCAAGAATTACATAACATTCAACTTTGTAAACAACAAGAAGGATTTATTTAATTAACAAGACCAGCAAGAACTACATAACATTCCACTTTGTTCTTTTCATTCCGAATCCTCTTCCAGAAAGGAAAACAAGCATAAACCGGGTATTTAGGAGAAGACACATTGCCAGAAGAAAGGCAAGAAAAAAATGGCTAAAAATGTACCTCTCCTCTCGTGGTGCACGGCCCGATGCATAATCGACACCCATATGCCTGCTCCAGTGACTGGAAACCACTCAATACCAATAAAACAACCCACAGTCATTCACACTTAAAACAAAAGCCATAATCTTTGCTTAAAAAATCATCACACATGCAACATTTTACCTCGCCAAGTATGTGGGCACTTGAATGCCAAAAGGTATCACGGCCTTCATCAGTTTCAAAGGTAAACAGCTCGAGCTTGCAATCGCCTTCCAAAGGCCGGCTCATGTCCCATAAAACACCGTCCACCTTTGATATCAAAGCGTTAGACGCCAAACTCTTTGATATCTCCTTGGCAACATCGAACGGCGTTGTGTTCCATTTCTTGCCTTCCTTCACCTTCCCGTCCGGCAGCGTAATCCTATTTGGTCAATTTCGAAGCAAAAAAAGTAAGAATCGAACTGTAAGCAAATCAATGGAAATGAAGAAGTAAAAAATCAATAAAAAAAAAAAAAATATAAGCGACCGCCATTACTTGATTGGGTCAGGCGAAAGCGAGAGACGACTGAGGTTCTGCTGATTTTTCAGGGATTCGAAAAGCTCAATGCGTTTGGGAATAACAGTCTGAAGATACGCTTCGTCTTTGGCGTACGCCGGAGGAGCGGAGCTCGAGTCGGGCTTTCCTTTCTTGCCGGAGGCGGACTCTCCCATCGGAAAGAAGAAGCGTCGAGCAGTTGACCAGTACGGCGGCGGCGGACGGCGGATGGACAGCGGGATGCGGCACCAAAACGAGAGTTGCATAAATGGGCGGCTGAATGAGGGTTTTCAGTTTTTCACTTTTGGGGCTTGGCCATGTTTTTCCCTTATAACTGAGAAATTACATTTAGGTCCCTCAATTATGGGTCCCTTTGCAATTCAGTCCAGGTTAGTATTTTTTTCTGGCAGAAAACACCTAACATTCAAAGGTGAAAAGAACTGTTCAGAGTTTGGACTCTCCTTCTCTGCTCCCCCAACTGCCCTCACCCGACCAAACCCTACTTTCTCTCTCCTCTCGTCGCCGTCGCCGGTGCCAGCGCTGCTTGAACACATTGGTAAGAAACCTTTTCTCTTTTGTTTTTGCTATTTTGCATTTTTTCCTTCTGTTGATCTTTGAATTCCGATTGTTCATACATACTTGAGTTATTGACGGAAAAAATTAACAAAATCATTGGCGCATCCTTCGCCGTAATAATATCTTGGGGTTTGCAGCTGATTTAATTTGCAGCCGTTTTGATTGTAGTTATGTAGCTTGTAAAATTATGTTCTTTATGTTACAGTTCGGCATCTTATGCATTTACCAAATCTGATTAGAT